ATGCAAGTTTGTCAATGAACAGCATGCTGAGAGAGAAAGATAATGAAATCTGAAGTGCAGAGTTTTCTACTGGAAATTTAACGTGTTCGTACATACGCAGGAACTGAATTTAAAATTTTAAGGAATCTTTGGACACAGATAAAGGATCTCTTTTCAAAACTTGGGCTTCTTAGTCCTTTTGGTCCCCGAGTCAATAATTTCCCGCCAAAACTTTCACTTGTTCATAAATTAGACTCAGACGTGTGTAAACATTAATATCGTTTTTCTGGGGTTGCACTTGACCAAGGAACCCTCTGTCAAAGAAATTTAAGCATTTAGCTTACCTGGCCGCCAAATTGAAATACCCGGACAAACACACACGCACACACAAGCATACGAGACCATTGGTATTTTACAAATGGGCAAAAATGCGTAAAGATCTCTAAGTTTACCGCTCACCAATTATTCCTCGTTTGTGCTTCCAGGCGAGATATTTTGATGTGGTGCCAAGTTTTTGGATGCTTTTTTTCAATGAACTGGCAGCATCGGCTAGGCTGGGATGAACATTGAAGTCAAATTTATTCCTGAAAAGTCAAAAACATACCACCATTTAGCAAGATAAAAACAATGAAATAAAGATACTGGAAAGCTAAATGCAAAACTGAAATTTCGCTTGCTTTTCAAGCAATATTCGGAAGACTTTTCAAGCATTAAATGCAACCTTGCTAATGATTAACTGCTGCTTGCAACGTGTTATCATCGCTAAAACTCTAAGATGCTCCTACCTCCTAGATAGCTATGATTTACAGTTTGATTCTTCAGCTATGAGCTGTTAACATTTGCAATCGTATCCGCCTGTCAGTGATCCTGGCTTTCGCTTCATCTCTTGAAGGGATAACCAACAAAACGCCTTACACGACAAAAATTTTTTGCGAGACTTTAGCTATTTCGGATGTCATTAGTATGTTACTATCTCGTCCTGGCCGTTACAATTCACAGACCATGATGAGTCCACCTTTTTATAAAGCATGTAAAATTAGAGGAAACTTGGTTTTTAAAACTGCTATTTAGATGAACTGCATATAATCGCTAAGGTTTAGATTTTAAATAAACTTTCCAGACTAAAAAATGACCTTGGAAAAATGGATTCAAAAAGCACGCCAATATTTCCAGCACGAAGTTTTTTCATATTGTACTCCATATGCTTGCCAAGATACTGAAATCATTTTATTTTTGATAAACGTCACAATCAAGTGAATCATCAATAC